TTATGCGCTTTTGGGTGGTTGCTATGGAAGTTGAGCACCCGGATTGTGTTAGTCGCCTTCCAGCACACAGCACACGAAGAGACAGACGCGCGCGCGTGCATTGCCCGGGGCCTGTCGCGCGTCTGGGATTCAGACCACTATTGAGTTCATGTACATATTAAACAACTCCTGCTGGTCTTACCACTTTTCTTTCATAAGGGAATTGGGCGCGATAATTGTAGTGTCCTGAGCACACTCACGGCTTAGATACCTACAGGAGTAAGGTTAAAAGTTATGTTTGCGATTAGGTTTGGATCAATTTTAGTGGTAAGGATCGGTTAAGAATCTGTTTTATGTTAACTATCGGGCTCCCTTTCGCTTACGTTAAAGGTTTCAATTTTCCTTTCCTTGGGTTTTTTGTTCAGCTTAATTTTCGGTTGCGGGTAAGCGTTTAGTTTAGGGACTGATAGGCTTGGTAACTCAAACGCTCGACATCTCAAGCATAATGAGTTAAAGGTATAAATAATAAGCTTGTTCTGCCTAAATGTTGTTTGCTGAAGACAATGGTGATCTTGTGAGGCATTCGCTGCATAAAACTAAACTGTTTCCAAATTAGACATCTTTCTTGCGTGATCCTCCTACACTAAAAATCAGTGCTGTGATGTCCGCCGGGCGCGGTTTAAATTCGCTAACAGATTAACGAGTCCTTTCTTTTTGTGTTTATTGTTTTAACCGATATTTTATCATGTCCGTGCAGTCTCCTGCATATGAATGTTACTCCTTAACATATTATGTGGCGGTATAGGTATTTGTGCCTCCTGCTTGTCGTCTTTCCTTTAACCCTTTTGCTGACGTGCTATATATAGCACTATAGTTATGCTGCATATATACGCCAGGTGGACTTCCCACCTCGCTTAATTGAAGGGAGCGTTTTGTTTTTTTTTTAAATTTTAGGTAAAAGATGAAGGAGAGCATTACAATCAGGTTTTTGTGTGCATTTAAAAATGAGCCCCGGGGCAAAAAACATCTGCCAGGGTTATAACCTTGCGCCTTTATTATTTGAAAGGTACTTAAAATTGAACATTTAGCACCGAGTATCTGCGTCATGAACAAGCGTATGATCAAGAAAAAATTGCGCAGAACTTACAACACTTCAATTTTATCATGAAGTTGCGGTCTAGATTTCTGTTTGACTAAGACAAAACTGGCTACTCATGCCTCTCTTATCTTTTTCGGTAAAATTGTGGGCTGTTTCTTGTTCCGCGCTATACTTTACATTCATATAGATCAAAACAATAAATTATAACAGGACAATCAAGGTCACTGCAAATTATTTATTATATCAACATGCCAGCTTGCGCACCTCATCCTTCTTCGTTAACGACCGTTATTTTCTCCTTTCCAGGCGCCTCACTTCCTAAGGAGACTATTCTTCATAAAACTCACCACCCCTTAATCTTTGCTCCGGAATTGCATCATTTTATCGTCCGTTCTCTATGTGTCTTGCTTTGCATCGGCCACCTTCTTTGTTGCAACTGTCTCGTCAACAGCCCGATTGATTCTGCGCTTTCAGTACTATCTTCTCTCACGTTTTTCTCAACAGGTTCTGGTTGGGGAGGTTCGCTCTTGTCGCCAGTCCTCTGAGTCGACATGGGTAATCAACTAGTTTGCTGTAGGCTTAAATGGAGCATATTTACGAATTCGGAGGATAACTTAGCCGCCGATCCTTACGAACCTTCCCAGTACCAGTTTACAAACCATACTGCCTTTCATCCGCATATCGCGTCCCCCGTTAATGCCTGCTTTAATTCCGTTGAACGAGGCTATAAGCGTCTAGTTACCGATCGTTGGACACCTTTCCAAGACTCTGGTATAGTACCACCACCATTGGTTCAACACATTAGCGAAAGGGAACCTGAAGGTGAGCTCTTTTTGTTTCCTCATTTTCCGCATATAAGTAGACGTGGATGTAGATCCCTCTTTTAATGGTGCTTGCTCAACTCTCTTCCTCCAGTCTTTTTATACAGTACTCAACAGGAATCACTCCCTCAAAAAGGTAAGGTCTTTTCACCCTCCGATACATGTCTTAGATGCTCTTATTGGCAAACAAGCAAACATCGAAGGAGTCGGAAAAGACGCTTTACCGATGGAGTTCTTGTGGTTCCGTGTACATTGGGGAGGGTTGTTTAGCACGACCAGATCCGAAACTCATCTTTCATTGTGCCTCTGTGGCAGTATCTGTCCTGTTGAAAACGGAGAAGAAGATGAAACCATCGAAATCAACAAATGCGAACTGCTCTGCCTGGTCCGATTGCCGTCCGCTGCTGGGAGCAGCATCCGATCAGTCGCCCAGTCTTACCTCAACTTGTGATCTGGGTCGCAAGTGTGTCATACCGCCCGACCTTTACAAAGAGGTTTACGAATTGTATGACGAACGTATTCATCCCCTTTTTGTAAGTTGTCTCTTTTAATCTCAGTCTTTCCTCTCTCCAGTATTTCCCTTTAAATAAGAGTTGCGAGGTATTGTAAGCAAAATGATTGACTGAGTAAGTAAAACGTGTTTCCTGGTGGCGTTGGCTACTAAGAGAAGAGAGAAGAGAAGAAGAATGCTATATTGAGGATTTTACAAACCTGAAT